TGGATTTTGCCGAAAAGTTCTTTACTACCCTGTAATGCCTTGCGGTACGTTTTCGATGGGCTACCCTGTATATAAATAACCTATAAAAATTTTGTTGGTTTTTGAGATACACTATTTTTCGTAACAAAAACAATATTTTCAAAGTAAACATCGTAAATATTGTAAGCTTGTAAAAAAGGCCTCCTTCTGATCCCTACATTTAATTTCCTGTTTCTAATTTTCACTTCTTTAATGTAGATAAATAATTTCTTAGTAAATAAATATTTGAAGGTGCGGTTAGATAATGCTGCTTTTGACAATGGCAATTTTATAAAATGCCTTTTTTTACTTACTTCAACAAACCATTACTCTTGAAGTACAATAGGTATCTTTGGAGGTAAAAAAACAGAAATCGTCTCCGTCGCCGTCGCTTAGCGGAGTGATCTCGGCAAATCACATCAAAACTGTCAGCAATGCCACTGCAGCGAGCCTCTTACATCGGACCTTGAACGTAACTGACCATTCCGATACTGCTTTTAAGAATATCATATTTATAACTGTATTATTTTAACAAATTTTGTCAAATTGTTTAGTTATTTACTACCTGTGTCAGTTTTTTAATTTTTTTAAAAAAAGCCCTTCTGTTTTCCTTAAAAATACAACAAAGAAGAGCTTTTCAGACAAATGACCTTCACAGTACTAAAGGCAGTAGTTCGACTTATCGTCAGTAAAAATTTGAAATTGTCTTGTCAATTAACAAAGAAGTTACGTCGAGTTAAAGTGGGAGGTATCAATTTTGTAGGCAGAAAACCGTGATTTTTTTCAACTTTTTCATTAATAATTAAAAAATTTTAGTCCAAAATCTTTTATTGGATTCTATTTGGGTAAGGTTTTCGTGGTTCAACCTACGTTTTTCAAAGAATGCGTTATGTTTTACTTCATATTCCAATCTCTATGATCTGTGTCATATGCACATTTGTAGCTCTTAAATACCTCCATTTTTGACTATATTTTGCACATCAACTGGCAATAATTCACACCTGCAGACCTTAGTGAATCACGCAGATCGCATTGGTACATTAGCACTTGAGAAGACTCTTTATGATTCTTATGCTTCGACGCATGATGCAGCTCCTTTATTTGGGTTCATAATCGCAGTCTTTATGCTTCAACATGTGACATTTGATACTGTTCTTGTATTTAGTTTCGTAATCACACTCATTACACCTGTACATTTGAATTGGCGATCTTCATGTGTCGGTGCCGTTTGAGGGCACATTTGTATTTAGATCTTCATGTGTCAGTTGGTGCCGTTTGAGGGCACACTTGTATTTAGATTTGTAATTGCAGTCATTACAACTGTACATTTGAATCTGCGAAGGATCTTTATGTTTCAGTTGGTGCTGTTTTATATAATTCTTGTATTTAGATTTGAAATTGCAGTCGTTACAACTGTACATTTGAATCTGCGAAGCATCTTTATGTCTCAGCTGATGCTGTTTCAAATTATTCTTGTAGTTAGTTTTGTATTCGCAGTCATTACAATTGTACACTTCAATATGCGAAGGATCTCTATGTGTCAATTGATGCTTTGCGATATAATCTTTGTATTTAGTTTCATAATTGCAGTTGTTACACTTGTACATTTGAACCTGTGAAGGATCCTTATGTTTCAGTTGATGCTGTTTGATAGTAGTCTTGTATTTAGTTTTGTAATCGCAGTCGCTACACTTGTACATTTGAACCTGTGAAGGGTCTTTATGTTTCAGTTGATGCTGTTTGATCACATTTTTGTATATAGTTTCGTAATCGCAGTCATTACATCTGTACATTTGGACCTTTGAAGGAACTTCATGTTTCAGTCTGTGTAATCTGATAGCATTCTTGAACTTAGTTTTGTATTCGCAGTCATTACAACTGTACATTTGAATCTGCAAAGCGTCTTTATGTTTCAGCTGATGCTGTTTCATATTATTCTTGTACTTAGTTTTGTATTCGCAGTCATTACAACTGTACATTTGAATCTGCAAAGCATCTTTATGTTTCAGCTGATGCTGTTTCATATTCTTGTACTTAGTTTTGTATTCGCAGTCATTACAATTGTACACTTCAATATGCGAAAGATCTCTATGTGTCAATTGATGCTTTGCGATATAACTTTTGTATTTAGTTTCATAATTGCAGTTGTTACACCTGTACATTTGAACCTGCGAAGGATCCTTATGTTTCAGTTGATGCTGTTTGATATTATTCTTGTATTTAGTTTTGTAACCGCATTTAGTACAGCTGTACATTTGAACCTGCGAAGGATCTTTATGTTTCAGTTGATGCATTTGGATCACATTTTTATATTTAGTTTCGAAATCGCAGCCATTACATCTGTACATTTGGACCTTTGAAGGAACTTCATGTTTCAGTCTGTGCAGTCTGATAGCATTCTTGTACTTAGTTTTGTATTCGCAGTCATTACAACTGTACATTTGATTTTGCGAAGGATCTTTATGTTTCAGTTGGTGCTTCTTGATAGCATACTTGGATTTACTTTGGTAATTGCAGTCGTTACATACGTACATTTGGGCGTGAGAAGGATCTTTATGTGCTAATTGATGTTTGATGAAGATACTCTTATTATTTGATTCAGAATTATAGCTATCACATTTATAATTCAGCAGTTGTGATGTGTCCTTACGTGACAATGGGTCGTATTTGGTCTTATAATCATACTCATCACATTTTTTTGAGTCTTTGTGTTTTAAATAATGACTATTAAAGTTAGTCCTCCATTTTGTTTTGAAATCACAAAAGTTGCACTTGTACAATTGTGCTTTGTGACCCTGCTTGATTTTCACATTACATTTGTTCGCTGCTCTACTCGTGGCTTTACATCGATCCCCTTCTGCATCTTTACAGTCACTCTTCTCGAATGGTTCATCATCGAAGGTCTGCGGTATCGTGTCGCTGGAAAAATTGCATATACAGGGTATTTTTGAAAAGAAAGAATTTAAAGGTGTTATAGGTAATGTCAAAATATTGCGTTTTACAAAAAATTACTTGAATAAGTGTTATGAAATCATTAATCATACAGGGTGATCCATTAATGGTATCGAGCGACTGTATATAGAAAACTAGACGTGCTACGATTATGAGGTAAAAAATCTATCAACAAATATGAGTAAAAGAAATTGGCTTAAAATATTTTCAAGTTTGTAACTTCACCGCTAGGGGGCGCAACTGCTATAGTGTTACAGAAAATTGTCGGTTTTTCGAAATTTCGCTTATATAACCTGTTAAGTTGCAAATACATTTTTTAGATACAATGTTAAACCCTTCACAAGTTTTGTTTGAACTTTTTTTTTATTATTACCATAGCAACGTCAGTATGAAGGACGCTATCTTGAAATTTTCAAATTGTCAACTTCTAAATGCCTTAATCGATTTCAATAAACGATGGCTCATTTTAAAGAACTATTAATCAAATTTATTTCTACGATATAGGAATAAAAATATTGTTTTCCTGCGCAACGGTATACAACGCTAATGAGAAAAGTTTTGTAATTGTCTCTAAAGGAAAATGCCTTTTACGAATGTGGAAGCCTATGATAATACGTTGGCAGTTTATTTTCAATGTTTGAAAAATGCTGTTACAGCTTCAAGAGAATACGCTTTGCGATACCCTCGTAGAATACGCTACTCCAGACCAGAGAAGTATTTCAGCGTTTATCCAGACATGTAAATCCCCAAATAAGTCCAAGGGAATTAATTAAAGACCTGGGAATTTCATACGGAACACAAGTACTTTTCTCACACGAATGACATTAATTTTGCACGAAGCAAGAGTTGTCACATATCGTTTGACATACATTTTTATTTGTCTATTTTCATAGGACAAAGCCTCCTTCGTTATGGAAACAAAAATCCTTACAACTACTCAGATATTTGGAATTAATAAAAAAATGAAACAGAAAATGAAATCAAAAAAATTTCAAAATAAAGCAATAATTCTTTTTAAAGACAAAATTGGAAGTTTTACAATTTAATTTTGGCTTATGGATTATATCAATGTTATTTAGAGAATTAAACAAAGGAGGATGGTCTAGCACAACCTCACTATTTTAGCAATGACTTGAAAATGAAAAAGATATCGACCTCCGGTTTGTGTATTTGTGTTCCATAAGGAATGGTCTATCAAGCCATGAAAAAAAACCTATATCGTTGCATTGAATTTTTTTAGTAAACAGAGACAATTACACAACTTTTCTCATTAGCGTCGTCTACCGTTTATTCCTATATCATAAATATAAATTTTATTAATAGTTTTTTAAAATGTGCCTTCGTTTTTAGAAATCAATTAAAGCGTTTAGAAGTTATGATAAGATAGTGTCCTTCATACTGACGTTGCTATGGTAATAAAAAAAAAAAGTTCAAACAAAACTTGTGAAGGGTTTAACAGTATATCTAATAAATGTATTTTCAACTTAGGTTATATAAGCGAAATATCGAAAAAACAATAATTTTCTGTAACACTATAGCAGTTGCGCCCCCTAGCGGTGAAGTTACAAACTTGAAAATATTTTAAGCCAATTTCTTTTGGTCGTATTTGTAAATAGAATTTTTACCCCATAATCGTAGCACGTCTAGTTTCCTATATACAGCCGCTCGATACCGTTAATGGATCACCCTGTATATGCGAAGATAGCACTGTGCGGAAATAAGTCACTGTTTGTTGGCACTTCTAATGTCAGCAAATCAAAGGGAAGCCTCAGTTTGATGTTAGGGTATCAACAAGGTTGTTATTTCCCCAATGTCTTCAATAACCTCGCAATATTGATGATGATTGTGCTGGATAATGTAATGAAATTAACAGCTGATACTCTGTTTAGTATTTAACTGAAATCATTACTGTTTACAAGGAAAGGCATCACGCCTGTGATAACAAGTGAAAAGAAGCATTTTCAAGACAAGAACAGGTTTATATCTCAAATGTTTTTAAAATTTTAAATTTTCTAAATCGCTATTTAGAAAATACCTCGTTATCAAGATACAAAAAAAAGAAGTGCAATAAATCATAAAAATACAAAATTTATCGGCATTTCCTTACCCATCCTGAGGATCATCCAGTTTTATTTCAATTTCTTCATTTTTAATATAAGACTGTTTATCGACGTTTGTATATTTCTCATGTACATCAAGGCAGCTCTTTAAAAAACTGCCATGGGTACGAAGCGAATCAAAGCATGTTCTACATATAACAGGATCCCTGGTAGCACTGATGTTCTACAATTAAAAAAAATATTAGCATTAATATTTATTGAATGTAAAGTTGAAAATACGTTTTCAGTGATTGATGTGACAATAAATATTTATCAAATTTTAAACATTTTCTGTTTATACAACATTTATATAGAATATCATTTGTGGGTACGATATAAATATTTTAATAAGAAATACTTTAAAATGTAACTTACAACCTGTGGTATATATGTATCGATTATGTCAACATCCACTTCACGTAGTGCCACAAATCCGTAGGTTACGGACTGAAAACATAATCGACAAATTGTCCGATCTTCCGATGCATCGATTAACTGAATATTTCCCTTCTCTTTTAGATAAACTTGCTTTAAATCGATCACTGACATTTTACTGGCAGTAATATGAGGAAAAATTAAATCCTCCGTATCCATACATATGGACTTAAAATTAAAAGCAGCAAATAATTTCAAGGAACATGTTTTACACATGAAATGTTTAACTTTTTCCTCCAAATTCTGAAACGGATTTGCAATTAAGAATAAATGAACTACACTAGGGACATAAAAGTAATTTTGTTAACTTGACCTTACCATATGCGGCAAAACAATTTTTAGAACATCTCTTATGACTTCTTCTATCACCCGACAATTTGAATCTCTTATAATATTTAGGCACAGCCTACAAAATGTTTCTTCCAAGATTGTTGCTTGCATATTTATTTATTGCGTTTCTTATCAGGAATTCTAAACAATTTGATTGACAAATAACGATACCGTCCCATAACCACATTTAAATTTTTCTTCTTCTTCACATTGAATATACGCCGCGCCATTATTCCATGGCTAGAAATTGGCCTCAATGATTTGGGATCGAGGGGGATTATCCCTCTTTATCCTGCCTCATCTCGTGTAGGCCTGGACAGCCTTCGTAGGTGGGCCCCATCCGTCGTCTACCCCGACCGCAAATGCGGCCGGTGTAGGCGCTTTGTGGGACCTCCTTTTGTCCTGGCTGGGCCCCGCCGGCTAGGGCCCTTTCTTCTGGCGCTCTTCTTGCTTCGCCGGCTCGTCTGTGTAAACCCCGGGGGTAGTGTCATGTTTATGTGTGGTATGGTTGGGTAGGGTAGTGCGGCTATGCAGCCTGGGATGCGCTTTGCTAAGG